GTCTCCACTTGCAAGGTGTCCTCCTTCCTGTACCATGAAGAGGAACTCCATAGTATAGTTCTGGAAACCCTTACCTGGAAGGTGGGCAGCAGCAGGTCCTCACCACAGACCTGACTGTGTGCTCCTGGCCACCTCCCTCTACCAGCCTGTCCCATGACCTTCCTCTCCATTTTTTGGAAGATGATATTTTTTTAAATATTTATTTATTTATTATGTATATAATATTCTGTGTGTATGTCTGCAGGCCAGAAGAGGGCACCAGACCTCATTACAGATGGTTGTGAACCACCATGTGGTTGCTGGGAATTGAACTCAGAACCTTTGGAAGAGCAGGCAATGCTCTTAACCACTGAGCCATCTCTCCAGCCCTCAAATAAAACTTTTTAGACATTTATTTATTTAATAAGTGTGTGGTGGTAAGTTACCCCAGGTCATGTATACTTTGGACTGTTTTTTACATATGTGTGTTAGTGAGTAAACCCAAAGCCAGATCTTGTTACTTAACTCTTCCTTGCCGTTTCCAAAACCTTCTGATGTCTTCTTTTCAATTCCTTACTAGACGGCGAGGGCAGGAGAGATCTTTATACCGGTGTTAAATATAAACCGTGCTGAGCTTCCTCTACGCGGGGACAATGTCTTCTTCCTCCAGAAGGTTCAGATTCCAGAGTCTGCGCTGGTTTTCAGGGATGAGATCGACCTCCACGCATTGCACCAGGCTGGCCAGCTCACCCTCATCCTTGTTGACCATCACGTCTTACCCAAGTAAGTGGGCGGAGTGGCGCGGGGACTGAGTCAAGTAAGAGGACAGAGTGGTGGAGTGGTGGGGACAGAGTCAAGTAAGAGGACAGAGTGGTGGAGTGGTGGGGACAGAGTCAAGTAAGAGGACAGAGTGGTGGAGTGGTGGGGATGGAGTCAAGTAAGAGGGCAGAGTGGGGGGAGTCAAGAAAGTGGGTGCTCATTCTGCATTTTAGACTCATGGCTGACACAGAAGGAAGGGGGTTTGCCTTCTAGAGTCTCAGAGGCTAATTTTTGCTGTTTTTGTCTGTGATTTTTGTTTGTTTGTTTTGTGCAACATTGACTGGCCTGGAAATCATTGTGTATTCCAGTCTGGCCTCAAACTCAGAAATCCACCTGCCTCAGAAGCTAACTATAATTAATGGGTCATATCCAATATGAACAACCTATTAAAATAGTGTCATTTCTCTAGCTATATGATATTTATGATAGAAAGAAATAAAAATACCTAGTGAGTTCAAACTAATCATTCAAAAATACCTTAGATCTGCCTTTAATGTCAGAACCTTTTGCTGTTTTGAAACACAGGAATACTATGTTTTAGTAGACTCTAGAATATCAGTCAGTCTGTTCAACAAATGTGTACATCTATAATAATTCCACTTCTAACTTAGGACTACAAAATGCTGCCAGAAAGCAACATGAGTATGAAATTTGCTATTCTTAAAAATGCATAGTTTTTCCTCGAGCACACTGTGGTTATAGCAAGGAGTGGTGGGTCCCTGAGCGCATCCGTGAGTTTATTTGGTGAAACCTTTTTCTGAAGTGGATGAAGGTGGCCAATCTCATGAATCTGTCCGTCAGGAAGAGGGCAGTAAGCAAGCAGATCATCGCAGTGGACGCTGGAGGGAAGTGGTAACTGTCACGCTGAGGATGCTGGGACTTGATGGACTAGACATGGACTTATCTCATTGCACTAGAAGGAAACTGAGGGCCTTGGTCTGTAGAGGAGTTGGCCCTCGAGCCTAGTCTACAAAGAGAACTTGGTGTTTGTCCCCTGCAGGGGTGGGAATGTGGCTGAGAGGAATTAATGGTAGCAAAGCCAGGCAGGCATGAAATTGCACACTGAGTTGGGGAACTGGGAATTGTTTTGTGCAGCTGACATTAAATGTGTGGGAGAGGTAAGCTGTGAATTTATGCGACCGAGGTGTGCGGGGCTGATCATGGAGGCCGTATAGGGCCTGTTGAGAGTGTAGACTTTACTTTTAGGTAGCAGAAAGTTTGTGGATTATATTATTCCAGATCCTAACAGAATAAAGGTTTTTTTTATTGTTGTCTTGTTTTTGTTTTTAAGTAAGTGATCATTCAGGAAACGTTTGAAGGTTTAATGAGCCCTGGTGACGCGCCGAAACAGTGTAGGGGCTCCTGAGGGTGTAGCACAGGGGTGGGAAGGAAGGCATGGATGGGTAAAGCCCTAACCTGGTGACCTAGTGGTATTTGATTGTCAAGAGAAGAAGGTTCTCTGTTGAGTATCAGAATGGACACTCAATTGGAACGGCAACCTAAAGGACAATGTAGACATTCATAGCAGACGCTTCACAGGGCTTGTTACATGCTGTTTAAATGCCATTTCAGATACCACATTAAAGAGAGTAGAAAAGAGTGAGACGGGGGTAAAAGTGACCTCTATGTGTTTGCCTAAGGCGCCCACACTTTTCTTTGCGCTGGAGACTGGTTCTGGCATCTGGAGTGCTCTTATGTTTCTCTCTCTTCCTGTTTTTTCTGTTAACCACCGCCCTCCCCAGAAGTGACGCCGCTCTGGAGGAGGCGGTAGCAGAGGTGCTGGACCATCGACCAATTGAGCAGAAATACTGTCCTCCCTGTCATGTTTCAGTTGAGCTGGTGGGGTCCTGTGCTACCCTGGTGGCAGAGAGAATCCTCCAGGGGGCGCCAGAGATCTTGGACAGACAAACTGCCTCCCTACTGCACGGTAAGGGATCAGTTTTGGGTTAGGACCTGATTGGTTCCTTTGCTCCCTTCGCACACAGGGAGCGCGAAAGTCTAGCCGCTTGCAGCCTTACTTGTAACTGTGCCCTCGAAGCCATCCCTCATTACAGAGGGCAAGAGTTGGCTCGCAGTAGTTGGGCATTTTTCTCACTGCCTGGGGATTTGTGTTGGAGACCGCCGAAAGGAAGCACAGGGCAGCTGACCCTGGCAGTTCCCTCTGGCAGATCTGTCTAATAGAAAGAGGACTCGCCAGAGAAATACGAAACAGGCTCAGCTGTCTGTCCCACCAGGAAGCGGTTGTGTGTCCGACAGCTCTCCTCACCCTTTTCCCTCTCATTTTTCCACCAGTTGTGTGTGTGCTGAGACTAATTAGATTGTCCGAGGCAGTCTCTTCCAGTGGTAATGGCCATATCTGTGGTGGAAGACAAAACCCAAACACAGAGGGAAGTAGGCGCAAAGCTTCATCTGTAGCCAAGTAGCTATTTGAAATTCATAGCTACTGAGAGAGGGGAATCTGTTTTTCTGTGGAGTGACTTTAGATATCATCAAACACTCTTCAGGGCAGGCTCCATTCTTAGGAATAGTTAGCCAACAAAAACCCTGGGTTTTTGCTTTTGTATTTTTGTCTTTTAAATTTTTTTTTTAAATTTTCACGTGGAAGTGCATGTATGTCTGTGCACTACATGTATATCTGGTACCCTCAGACACCAGAAGAGTGTCGTTGTGAACTGCCATATGGGTGCTGGGAATTGAACTTGAGTCCTCTAGAAGAGCAGCCAATGTTCTTACCTGAGCCGTCCATCTCTCCAGCCCCTACCTGCTTATTTGAGGGAGAGAAAGAACATGTATTGGGTGGGTAGGGAGGTGGAAGCAGAGCGGGGGAAGGGAAAAGAATATGAAATTTTCAAAGAATAAATAAAAATGTAAAAAAAATTCTGTGATGAAATTTGGCTTACTGAGGAGCTGGATTCCCCTGAGGTTGTAAAACTCACAAGGCCCAGGATGCCCAGGCTTCTTTTTATTTTATTTATTTATTTATTTATTTTTATATGTATGTTTTGTCTGCATATATATCTGCATAATGTACATGCCTGGTGCCTAGGGAGGCCAGAAGAGGGCTTCAGAGCTCCTGAGCCTGGAGTATCAGTTGTCAGCGCCCATGTTGGTTCTGGGACTCTGTAAGAGAAACCAATGCACTTCACCGCTGAGCGTCTCTCCAACCTCAGGCTTCTTGTCCACCTTCCCAGGCTCTTCATTGTGTTTTACTTTGGGAGTTCGCACTTAGGGCATGGTCAGTCCAAGTGTATTGTTTGTTCTCATGGTTTGCCCTGGCTGTACTTTCTAGATTGTGTCCATTGGGTTTGGAATTACGTGTGTGCCAGTGGTTGTGACTTACTCACAGGACCCCTGTTCTTCCATATCCCTTCGTAGGTACCATCATTCTGGACTGTGTCAACATGGATGCAAAAGTTGGAAAGACAACCCCAAAGGACAGCAAATACGTAGAAAAGCTGGAGGCCCTCTTCCCAGATCTTCCCCAGAGAAAGGACATCTTTGATTCTCTGCAAAAGGCAAAGTTTGACGTCTCAGGTATGATGGATTTACCACATGAGGAACTCAATGGGCAAGCTTTAAACATGGCATCTGGAAAGGTGTCAGAGCGATGTCAGAGTGTTAAAATGGTTTACTCTGTACACCAGAGAGAAGCAAGGGGCATCATGGCTGCCCATGAATGATCAGTCATCTGCTAGGTCATTCCTAGCAGATGTCCTGAGTTTGGAAGAGATGAGAAGAGCTGAGGATGAAGAGCTGGGAATGGTAGCCCATGCTATACTGGTGGGAAGACAGAAGGTTCAGGGTAACCTGCACTACTTAATGAGTTGAAGGACAGCATGGTTTATAGAAGGAGACCCTATCTCAAAAAGTGAAAGCTACATAGAAAAACCCTGTCTTGAAAAAAAATAAAATAAAATAAAAGGGATTTAAAAAAAAAAAAAAAGACTAGCTGAGAAGTGGCAGGTGTACACCTTTAATCCCAGCACTTAAGAGACAGAGGCAGGTAGATCTCTGTGAGTTCGAGGCCAGCCTGGTTTACAGAGTGAGTTTCAGGACAGCCAGGGCTACACGGAAAACTATGTCTCGAAAAATCACAAATAAATAAACAGACAAATAAATAAATAAATTTAGTCCCAAGGCTATGTGCATAGCCCAAATGGGACTTGATGGCTCGGAAAAGGGAAAAGAAGGAAGTAGGTGGTCAGGAAGGCAGGTGGGCCTGCGGATACTGGGAGGGTAACTATGATCAACGTATTATATGAAATTCTCAAAGAATAAAAATTGTAGAGTCCCAGTCTAATCTGAGAATGCAGGCCATAAATAACATATATGGGAGGCGGGGGGGGGGGGGTAAGTTATCAGAGCAGGAGCCGTGTGACTGGAGAAAGAAGAAAGCAATTCAGTGTGTGTCCAAAGGACAAAGAGAACCAAGGACTCCCATAATCTGCCTGTTGGCGTAAGAAAAGCAAAAAAAAAGGAAGCAGAAATGTGACGTGTACTTTTAGGAAGTTAAAAGAAGACAGAAAGGAAGAAAACCCCAGGGCCAAGGATGTAGCCAAAGAGCAGGCCCCACCCAGCGTGCACAAGGGCCCAGGTGTGACCCCCAACAAAACCAATCAATAAAGAAAGAGTGATGGGGATGGGAGGAGGCTGAGGAAGAGGTAAAAGCCTGTTGTGTTGGTTCTGGTTTTTCGTTTGCTTTTTTGAGGTGTTGTGTTTGTTTTAATGAGGTGGTCTCACTGTGTAGCCCTAGCTAACCTGAAACTCACAGTATAGACCTGGCTCGTCTCAAACTCGTGACTCCAGAGCCCTGGGATAACAGTGTGCACACCACACCCAGTAAACCGCCTCTTCTTTGACCCTTCTGCAAAGTCCCTTACTCTAAAGGTGACCATTCAACTCTTCTGACCTGATTGTTACCATCCTTTAAATTTTTTTATATTTTAATTTTTTTATATTTTATATTTTATATTTTAATTTTTTTAATTTTAATTGTTTTGCCTGCATTTGTGTCTATGTACTATGTACATGTCTGATGTCCTCAGAAGATAGAGAAGGTCATCAGATCCCCTGGAATTACAGTTACTCAGTTTTGAGCTGCCATGTCGGTGCTGGGAATTAAACCCTGGCGCTCCGGAAGAGCAAATAGTGCTCTTAGCTGCTGAGCTGTCTCTCCAGCCTGTGACCTGACTAGTCAAGTGATCCCTTCTATACTTATTGCTCCTGTTCATTGGAGTTCATTGGCCCTAAGGGAAACTACTTTCCCATTTTCCTCATCTTCCCCTTTATGGTGTTAGGCCACATCCCCTCTCTGACTCCTAATTTCCTGTCTCTTTTCTAGGCCTGACCACTGAGCAGATGCTCAGGAAAGACCAGAAGACCATCTACAGACAAGGCACCAAGGTGACCATCAGTGCAATCTACATGGATTTGGAGGTAAGAGCCCACCGCCGGTGTGAGCGTGAAGGGAGCATCTTTCTTCATCCACGAGACTTTGCCCTTCACTCCTGCCCACTGTGGGCTCCCTTGGTACCTCTCCACTTGTCTCGGTGTCCTCTGGGATTCCCCACAGCCCATCACCCCTCACTGTGCTGCTGTCATAGCCTGGGTACTAGCTTCTCTACTCCCACCTCGGTTTTTCATATAATCAGTGATTTTGTATATATGTATTTTTTAAAAAATACTTTAACGGGGCTAGAGAGTTGGTTCAGTGGTTCTTAGCATTGTTCACTTTACAGAGGACCTGAGTTCAGTTTTCAGCACCCACATAGAGGTTCACAGTGATTTGTAACTTTAGTTCCAGGGACTCTCGTGCTCTCTTCAGACGTCTATGGGCCCCAGACACACATAGTGCACTTATATAATGTAGGCAAAACACCACTCATACACATAAAGTAATCTAAAACATATATGTGTGTGTATATATATATATATATATATATATATATATATATATATGTTCTAGCCATTAACAGCTGAGCCATATCTCCAGCCCTTTCAAAATATTTTTAAAATTACATTTATGCCAGGCATGGTGACACATGCCTTTAATCTCTGCACTCTGGAATCTCAGAGGTAGGCAGATCTCTGAGTTTCAAGCCAGGTGGGGCTACAGAGTGAGACCCTTTCTCAAAACAAAGCAGAGTATTTATTGGTGTTTGTGAGAGTGTGTGTCCTGTAACACAACTTACGAAGGTCAGAGGACAACAAGCAATAGTCAGTTCTTTGCTTCCACCATGTAGATTCCGGGGGTTGAACTCAGGTTGGCAGCAAGTGCCTTTACCCACTGAGCCATCTGCTTGGCCCTGTTCGTGTGGTTTTCAAGAAAGGCTAGCATGGGACTGTGTAGTGTAGACTGGTCTTAAATTCAAAACAAGCTTCCTGCCCCTGCGTAGACAGAAACAACTCAGGCATATTCCTAGCTAACTCTTATATCTTAAATTAACCCATTTCTGTTAATCTGTGTGTCGCCATGAGGGTGTGGTTTACCAGTAAGGTTTGGCATCTTTCTCCTTCTGTAGCTACATGGCGTCTCGTTGGCTCTGCCTACTCTCTCTCTATATCTCTGTTTGGATTTCCCACCTGACTTTACTCTGCTAAGCCAGTGGCCAAAACAGCTTTATTCATCAACCAATAAAGGCAGCACAAATGCAGAAGGACATTTCACATTATCTCCCCTTTTCTGTCTGATTAAAAAGGAAGGCTTTAACTTTAACATAGTAAAATTACATCTACAAAATGGTCCCACGTTGGGCGCCATTAATAAATGGAGACTACAGTTACATTTTGCCTGCCACCCAGACCCAAATAATCACACATAGACTGTATTAATTACAACACTGTTGCCGGGTGGTGGTGGCACACGCCTTTATCCCAGCACTCAGGAGGCAGAAGCAGGTGGATCTTTATGAGTTTGAGGCCAGCCTGGTCTATAAGAGCTAGTTCCAGGACAGGCTCCAAAGCTACAGAGAACCCCTGTCTCAAAAAAAAAATTTCCCTTTATTGGCTGGAGAGATGGTTCAGTGGTTAAGAACACCAGATGCTCTTCCAGAATGACCTAGGTTCAATTCCCAGCACCCACATAGCAGCTCACAACTCTCTGCACCTCCAGTTCCAGGGGACCCAACACTCTTGTACATGACATACTTCCAGACAAAACATTATTGCACAGGAAATAAAATAAATAAATCGTTTAATGCTGTAGGACAATGGTCCTTAGTATTAAAAGAAATTAATTACAACACTGTTTGGCCAGCAGCTCTGGCATATTCCTAGCTACTAGCTCTTATATCTTAAATTAACCTATTTCTGTTAGTCTATATATTACCATATGGCGTTAGCTCATTTTCTTTTTTTTTTTTTTTTTTTTGTTTTTTGTTTTTTGTTTTGTTTTGTTTTTCGAGACAGGGTTTCTCTGTGTTTTTGGAGCATGTCCTGGAACTAGCTCTTGTAGACCAGGCTGGTCTCGAACTCACAGAGATCTGCCTGTCTCTGCCTCCTGAGTGCTGGGATTAAAGGCATGCGCCACTACCGCCCGGGCTAGCTCATTTTCTACATTGTCTTTCCTTGGTGGCTAGCTGGCATCTGCTTGACTCCGCCTACTCTCTCTATATCTCTGTTTGGATTTCCCTTCTGGCTTCACTCTGCTAAGCCATTGGCTGAAAAAGCTTTATTCATCAACCAATAAAAGTAGCACATATACAGAAGGACATCACACATCATCCCTGCTTCTAAGAGCTAAGATTACAGTCTTGAGTTACCATAGCCAACTGTAGAATGATCCTCAACAACTAAGAGTGATCTGCTCTTATAAAGGACCAAAGTTTGGTCCATGTCAGGCAGTTTATAACTACTTATAAGTTCTAGAGACTCCTATGCTGACTGGCCTCTGTAAGTATCTTCTCTCACACAGACACACTTATATACACATAACTTTTTTTTATTTTAGAATGTATGTATATGTAGCCTGAGAATATTTATCTCAGGCTAGGTGTTTTGGCTAGTTTTATGTCAACTTGATACAAGCTAGAATCATTTGTGAGATGGGAACCCCAGCTGACAAAACATCCCCCATAAGATCGGGCTGTAGGCAAGACCATATGGTATTTTCTTAATTAGCGGTCAATGTGAGATTGATTGGTCTGTTAGTCCTGGGTTCTATAAGAAAGCAGACTGAACAAACCATGTGGAGTTACCAGTAAGCAGCACCCTCCACGGCCTCTGCATCAGCTCCTGCCTCCAGGACTTCCTTCAGTGATGGACTAAGATGTGGAAATATGAGCCAAATAAACCCTTTCTTCCTCAAGCCACTTTTGGTCATGTTTCCTTATAGTGATAGTACCCCTCACTGGAACACCAGGTATGGTGGCAAGTGCTTTTAATCCCAGTGCTTGGGAAACAGGCCAGCCAGGGTTACATAGTGAGACCCTATCTTAAATAAGTAAATAGATAAAATAATAAATGAGATCACATCCAGTCCCTCCTTGCTTTATTCTTTTTCACTGTGTTTCTTACACAATCTAAAGGCTTCCCTGTGTCTTTATCTGACCTTTACTCTGGCCTTCCAGCCCTGATGGTTCTGGTCTCCAAGGACATCAGCATTCATCTGCACATACACATTTGTACTTAAAAATCAAATAAATATTTGAAAACAATAACAACAACAATCAAGGGCTAGAGAGAAGGCTCAGTGGTTAAGAGAACTTGTTTCTTTGTAGAGGACCTGAGTTTGGTTCCTAGCATGCACTTGGAGGCTCACAACCATCTATAATTCCAGTTTCTGGAGCTGGAGAGATGGCTCACTGGTTAAGAGCACTGACTGCTCTTCCAAAGGACCTGGGTTCAAATCCCAGCACCCACATGGCAGCTCATACCTGTCTGTGACTCCAAGATCTGACAGACTCACACAGACACACATGCAGGCAAAGCACCAATGCACATAAAATAAAAATAAATAAATTTAAAAAGTTTCATGGAGCCGGGCGGTGGTGGCGCACGCCTTTAATCCCAGCATTTGGGAGGCAGAAGCAGGCGGATCTCTGTGAGTTCGAGACCAGCCTGGTCTACAAGAGCTAGTTCCAGGACAGGCTCCAAAACCACAGAGAAACCCTGTCTCGAAAAACCAAAAAAAAGGGGCTGGAGAGATAGCTCAGGGGTTAAGAGCATTGCCTGCTCTTCCAAAGGTCCTGAGTTCAATTCCCAGCAACCACATGGTGGCTCACAACTACCTGTAATGAAGTCTGGTGCTCTCTTCTGGCCTGCAGACATATACACAGACAGAATATTGTATACATAATAAATAAATAAACATTTTAAAAAAAAGTTTCATGGGGCTGGAGAGATGGCTCAGAGGTTAAGAGCATTGCCTGCTCTTCCAAAGGTCCTGAGTTCAATTCCCAGTAACCACATGGTGGTTCTCAACCATCTGTAATGAGGTCTGGTGCCCTCTTCTGGCCTGCAGGCATACACACAGACAGAATATTATATACATAATAAATAAATAAATAAAATATTTAAAAAAAGTTTCATGGAATCAGATTCTCTTCTGACCTCTGTGGATACTACCAAGTATACACATAGTACAAGTATATACACTCGGTCTAAATATATAAAGTAAATAAATCTAAACCAAAAAGTACTACAGTTCTTGTTATACAGTAGTCTCATAGGTTGGTCTGTTTACCAGTGCTGAGGGCATGCTGGGCAAATGCACTTCCACTGAAATTGGATAAAGTTTTCACGCCCCTCCCATGTGGATCACACACACAGTTTAACACACACACATGGTATAGGGGCTGGAGAGATGGCTCAGCGGTTAAGAGCACTGGCTGCTCTTCCAGAGGTCCTGGGTTCAATTCCCAGCAACCACATGGTAGCTCATGGCCATCTGTAATGAGATCTGGTGCCCCCTTTTGGTCTGCAGGCATACACGCAGGCAGAACACTGTATACATGATAGATAAATAAATCTTTAAAAAGGAAAAAAAAAGAAACCATGGTATATAGCCAACACAAAAGTGTTGCCACACAGCCTAGCCACTGTACAGACTTTAGAATGGCCAAGTATGGGGGCTGCAGCGATGGCTCAGTCCCCAGGACACACAAAAGCTGGGCATGGGCACTGGCAACTCCAGTGTCGTGCAGGAGGAGACAGAGGCTTGCTGGGGCTTCCTGGCCAACAGCCAGCCTGGAGACAGGAATACAGCAAAAGTGATAAAGCAGCAGACCTGATGTCCTCCTCTGGTCTCTGTGCACACACATGTACATGTGTGTGCATATATGCACATGTACATATATCACACACACTAACTGAAGAAAGGCAGAATTGAGAAAAGCCCGGTATTATGTATTAAAGAAAACGCTGCATGAAAAATATTTGGGTGATATAGATTAGCAAAGAACGAGCCAAGGATGGATCACCATCCTGAAGGGAAACCAGGGCAGGACCCTGGAGACAGAACTAGCTTGCTCTTCATGGCTTGCTCCGTCCAGGGTTGGCACCACCCACCGTGAGCTGGGCCCTCCCATGTCAATCATTAGTGTGAAATGCCCCGCAGGCTTGTCTACAGGCAGCTCTAAGGGAGGCATTTTCTCTTGAGGTTTTCCCTTCCCAGGCGACCAGAAACTCTAACTAGGCCTGGAAGGCGGGATGATTATCACTTCTTGATCTTATGCCTGAGAGGCACTGTAGTAGAGCTAATTTTTAAAACAATTCTGTCTTAATCGGAAGCCTGCATTCTCCCCGTCTGTCACAGCTTCAGCAGAAATGCTGTATACCACCGTTGTGGTATATACACAATTGAATCACATGCACAGACCTCCGCGAGGGCTTGTTAGCAAGGATATGGTCTGGCTGTACGCGGCCCTTACTTGGTAGTAAGAATATGGTCTAACTGAACCTTATAGAAAAGAAAGTGGGAAGTACATTTAAACGCATTGGCACAGGGAATCACTTCCTAAATATAACCCCAGCAGCACAGACACTGAGAGAAACAATTAATAAATAAACTGAAAAGCTTATGTAAAGCAAAGGACACGGTCAACAAGACAAAATGACAGCCTACAGAATGGGAAAAGATCTTCACTAACCCCAAATCAGACAGAGGTCTGATCTCCAAAGAAATTGGACACCAAAAGATCACATAATCCAATTAAAAAATGGAGTACAGACCTAAACAGAGAACTCTCAACACAGGAACTTAAAATTGCTGGAAGACACTTAAGGAAATGTTCAACATCCTTAGTCATCAGAGAAATACAAATCGAAACAACTCTGAGATTCCATCTTACACCTGAAAGAATGACCAAGATCAAAAACACTGATGACAACTTATGCTGGAGAGGTTGTGGGGAAAAGGGAACACTTCTGCATTGCTGGTGGGAATGCAAGCTGGTACAACCCCTTTGGATGTCAGTGTGGCAATTTCTCAGAAAATTAGGAAACAACCTTCCTCAAGACCTAGTAATATCACTTTTGGGTATATATCCAAAGGATGCTCAGTCGTACCACAAGGAAATGTGCTCAACTATGTTCATAGCAGCTTTGTTTGTCATAGCCAGAACCTGGAGACAACCTAAATGCCCCTCGATCAAAGAATGGATAAGAAAAATATGGTACATTTACACAATAGAGTTCGACACAGAAGAAAAAAATTAACGACAGCTTGAATTTTGCAGGAAAATGGATGGAGCTAGAAAGCATTATTTTGGGGGCTGGAGAGATGGCTCAGCAGTTAAGAGCACTGACTACTCTTCCAGAGGTCCTGAGTTCAATTCCCAGCAACCACATGGTGGCTCACAACCACCTATAATGAGATCTGGTGCCCTCTTCTGGCCTACAGGCAAGATACTGTATAAATAAATAAATCTTGAAAGAAAGAAAGAAAGAAGAGAAAGAAAGAAAGAAAGAAGAGAAAGAAAGGAAAGAAAGAAAGAAAGAAAGAAAGAAAGAAAGAAAGAAAGAAAGAAA